TGTTTGTGGTAAGTACCAGTATATATAGTTTGTGGTAAGTACTAGTATATATTGTATGTGGTAAGTACCAGTTTATTTAGTTTGTGGTAAGTATCAGTATATATAGTCTGTGGTAAGTACCAGTATATATTGTATGCGGTAAGTACCAGTTTATATAGTTTGGGGTAAGTATCAGTATATATAGTCTGTGGTAAGTACCAGTATATAAAGATTGTTGTAAGTACCAGTATATATTGTTTGTGGTAAGTACCAGTATATATAGTATGTGGTAAGTACCAGTATATATAGTATGTGGTAAGTACCAGTATATATAGTTTGTGGTAAGTACCAGTATATATAGTTTGTGGTAAGTACCGGTACATATAGTCTGTGGTAAGTACCAGTATATATTGTATGTGGTAAGTACCAGTTTATATAGTTTGTGGTAAGTATCAGTATATATAGTCTGTGGCAAGTACGGGTATATATAGTCTGTGGTAAATACATGCAACATAGTCTATGGTAAGTACCAGAATATATAGTCTGTGGTGAGGATCAGTTTTCTGTGGTAAGTACTGGTATGATAAGTTTAGAGCATTGTGTATGAAGTCTACGGTGGGTACAAGTGTATATAATATAACGTGATTGCTAATGATGTCAATGACTCGGACGTGTCAACAGTTAAACTTAATTTGCGACAGTATAATCATAATACTGAAGACACTAGTAATTACATATTTTTATGTTTCTTTCACCGTGTTAACTGTAATGAAAGCCCAGTGCAACTATTAAGATAACAAAACATGGATTATGTCAGTTGTGGTAAAGGTGACATAAATGTCAGACATATTCGAAGGAGAACTTTCAAATTGGTGTTTTTTTCTGAAACACTAAGAAACAGCCTTGTCAGGTTGCAAGACTTTAGGGTCTTATATAAAGTGTATATATATGTAGTACTGTAGTTTGTAAATAAGAGAGGATCAGAATGGAAGATCCTTGCGAAAAGGGGGAGGGGGTTATATCATTTCAGTGCCCAAAAAAGTGGAGAGTACTAATTATAACCATTGTTCTCATATCATTTACTTCAACAATTTAAACAAAAGTATTATAGCTGTTATGGTAATAAATCCTCTTATGAAGTTTGAATTTATTCTGTTGAAAATTAATGAAGATATCGAGCGGATATGTGCAGCTTTATTGTTGAAACAGGACGCACAACCTCTGGTCATAATGATACATAAAATATATTTTACAACAATTATGAAATATGCTTTCCCAACTTATATTAACCACTATTATGGGCATGCAGAGGGTCTGAAAGTGGAAGGAAAATGGAGTACACAGAGTAAACTTGGTGAGAGGTGAGTGTGCTACCACTGCACCATCTGACCACGCCTCGCTATAATGATCAATCCAGTTGAGAAAACTCCACACTATTCCTTCTTTATTCTCTCCCAGGTCATCCTCATAACGTTACAAAGTGCATTTGAATCTAACCGTTGATTTAATTACCCTGGGTTATGGTGATCAAATGTTTGCACCAGTGACATGTTTTTCATCAAACTTATCATTATTTACAGGTAGAATAATAATTTAACAGAATTATCATAATTATGCACATTATATAGGAATTGAATGGATTTTTTCCCCATATTTATTGCCACAATGTACATGAAAAAAATATTCAATTCATTTATTGACGTTACGATGAACTAAAATAAAAAAAAATACCACACTTTTTGTAAATTCGATATTTTTAATATAAGTATCGGACAGAAACCCATCAAAAAAGGAACAGCCGGAACTCCAGCCTACACACAAACTTCAAATGTTCGACTTCTGTCCGACTTATGTGTTTCTTCCGCCAATCAGCTGATTTTGTTAAAAAGAAAAATATATATCAAGAATCTAATAACAATCAACATTTAATATTCCTTTCATTTTTGACAGTTGATCTTATTGGATATTGTCTTGTTTTGCATTATGAACACGCATATAATATATTTAAAAAAGTTTGTGTCCGGCGGACACTATTGCAAATCATCGGTCACCATAGTAACCATCCAGGGCCCGTATTCATGAAACCGTTCTCATGCTCAAGTCTGGAATTTGTGCTCAAGCCGAATTTCTTGTTCTACTTATAAATTCAATTTTTTCAATCATTTGGAAAAATATTGAAGAGACATAAAGCCGACAACTGTTTTAAATGTTTACAATTGACTTTTTGATCGTTTGACAAGATTTAAGAGAGTTAGAAGAAAGTAGGTTTGAGCACAGATTCCATGCTTGAGAATGAGAACGGTTTCATGAATACGGGCCCTGGGCACTCGTCGGCAGTAGGCATACAGTAGAGCTCATATATACTGCCGTTGAATGTGTAAATGATGATAGGCTGGTGGATGAAGTGTGCTGTGTCATAACAAAGTTCTCCGAGTTCAATGTGCAAGTTGATGTCACGGGGATTACCCAGCCGGATGGTGTTGGTTGTTAAAAAGTTTGTGACCACGAGGAACCGATTGTGAGTCGAGAGTCAGCATTCAATGTTGACAATGTTATAAGTATTTTTTTAAAATTTCAAATTAGAAATAATAATAGTAATAGTAGACAATGGTTTATCATTATTTCTGGCAACTACGTTATCTCGGAGAAGGGGAAATAACTCTTGAAGTGGTCATTGTGTGTGAAATCAGCTGACTGGTTGCACGAGAATCGTTGTATTCATAGTGTTTCATAGTCTAATGGCAGTTGTTGTCAGTTGGTAGATTCATGTACAGAACAAACATCAAGAATGTAAATATATAGCTATATATGTATAGCAAGCAACCATGGTTAAATTTCATACAAATAAATATACATGTATAGTGATATATACACAAGTAAACTGTTTACATGCAACACAAACTAACATAAAAGTGACAATAACATTAAAAATAAAATAAGGTCTGGAATGCTTGCTCTTTTCATAATCTTTGTCGACCAGACTTTTCTCCTTTACAAATATGTTTTGGCTATGTTTTGATTGTTTTGTAAAACACATATAAATACAGTTACAACATTCTGTAAACACTAGAGAATGCGAATGTAATAAAACAAATATCAACAGTCACTCTAGATCTGTTTCCATGCTTTCAGGCTTTATCAGAGAACAAGTGGTCCTCATTTTTAATGTACATCCATACTTGAATCTTTATCCATAATACTATATATCTACAACCAAACAGGAACTTCAAATATGGACATGACTTATAATAGAGATGAGGACCATTCATCTGCTGAGTGACTGTTGGGGTATATTTTATAAGCCATCAATAGTTTGGCACTCACATATTTTTAATTCGCCACAAACTTTGTATTGTACATGCATAATGTTTGGCTGGAACTGATACATTACTAAACATGTTCATCTGTGTGAGATATTGCATGCTGGGAAACTTTTGCCCTGTCAAATTTACACCCTTCACTGGTATAATCGGTTTTCACAAAGTGTTATTTTCACCCTTCATATGTCAGTAATATGTATGGCATGATGTGTGCTGATTTTCATCGTTATAATAAACTTGCCCTCATTATGGAGGGCCAAAAAGGCGACAGTTAAACTGCGACCAAAAATTTCTGTATACAGATATAATGCTTATCAAAGAAATGTCTTTCTATGATTACAGGAATTCATCTCTGCCTCATCACTCTATTATGCTCTTGTGATTCAGACGCGTAACAACCTATGTAGCAAAAATACCCGGGCTTACACATGATTTTTTACAAAAACAAAAAAACAAAAAAATATTAAAAAAAGAAATAACAGGTGTTTTTATATCATGTAGAACTGAGGGTAGCATATTCATTTGGTATGGTAACCCCCCCAACAAACTTATTCTATGATTTTTATCCCCTTTATTGATACACGATACGTATGAAGGGAAGGAATGGTCATAAACCATGGCTTTACATTTTACACATTGACCAGTATATCGGTTCTTATGTACATAATGTTAAACTATTCCTAGTTCTAGCTGGTGATACTAGTCTCATATCCCTGCGCAACCGGACTCACAGTCGTGAGGAGAAACGTCATAAGAAGAGAAAAACTCTTACAACAACCATCCCAAAATGCACATTTCTTTTCAGTGGAATAATGGTACCGAACTCTATAACAGAATTTGCGTAAATAAGTACCAATCCATACGTACCCCAAAATAAGCAAAATATTTGTAAGATAATAGGGGAAAATTATATTTTTATGCTTTAAAAGGGCCATTGAAACTGACGTCAGAACAAGGGAGAACGCGTCTGGGGCGTTCTAGAAAACAAAATTCTCCCGGGAGACCCCCCAGACCCCCATCGATGGGAAGGGGGGAGACCCCTCCCATACACTCCACTCCTTGCACTGTGCGATAATTAAATTATATGTGGCAGTGTTTAAATTTTCATTAGAAGAAAAAAAAGTAGAATTGTCAAAAATGTTAAGACAAAAATCTGTGAAGCAGAGAGAAACAAACCATCTACTAGGACCAGGAATCCTGAGCTTAATGTTAAGTTGCATAATTATGGAATGCATTACAATCTTGATTGGTTAACTCCTTCGTTTATGTAATTTTCTTAATAGAAATGGAAGAAAATTGAAGAACAAATGCACCAACAGGAGCGGTGAAAAAACTATTAAGTATCCATAAAGCATACGGTATCGTTGTGGCAACCACAGTACTGTATATTTCATTTCTCCAGTTGATTCTGTAAAAACACAAAAGAAAATTATTTCAAAAGCTGGTTGATAATACTCGATGATTGAAAATGGGATGTTTGCCATTTCTCACAACATGTCATATCTTCTCCTAATCAACCAAACAAGAGACTGAAATGTGTGAACATGGTGCACAATAGACATTAATGACATTAAATGCAAGAAAAATGTACTTATGCCTGACAAGCCAGCCAACACATTGCACTTGCCAGGATCTGAAACGTGTTTTTTCCAGGCTTCAGGCAAGTAATGTTGTACACTTTTATAATGTATGGAGGATAAGTAGAGATATAAGCTTTTGTGCAGTGACCTAATATGGATCACTGAAAGACAAGATTTATTCAAATGGAAATCATTACTGTATTGCTGATGACAAGATATAGAAGAAAAAGATCGGACAATGAACAGTTACTATACGATTCCCTCAGCTAGAACAATTTTCTAAACAATGACAGTCGTGACTTCGCTATTTTAGCCTCCCTGATCAGGTAACAATGTCCTTACCTATGACAGCCTCCCCTTCACTACTGTAACCTCCCTGATCTGGTAACAATGTCCTTACCTATGATAGCCTCCCCTTCTCTACTGTAGCCTCCCCTTCTCCACTGTAGCCTCCCTGATCAGGTAACAATGTCCTTACCTATGACAGCCTCCTCTTCTCTACTGTAGCCTCCCTGATCAGGTAACAGTGTCCTTACCTATGCTAGCCTTCCCTTCTCCACTGTAGCCTCCCTGATCAGGTAACAATGTCCTTACCTACGACCGCCTCCCCTTCTCTACTGTAGCCTCCTTGATCAGGTAGCAATGTCCTTACCTATGACAGCCTCCTCTTCTCTACTGTAGCCTCCTTGATCAGGTAGCAATGTCCTTACCTATGACAGCCTCCCATTCTCTACTGTAGCCCCCCCTTCTCTACTGTAGCCTCCCTGATCAGGTAACAATGTCCTTACCTATGACAGCATCCCCTTCTCTACAGTAGCCTCCCTGATCAGGTAACAATGTCCTCACCTATGATAGCCTCCCCTTCTCTACTGTAACCTCCCTGATCAGGTAACAATGTCCTTACCTATGACAGCCTCCTCTTCTCTACTGTAGCCTCCCTGATCAGGTAGCAATGTCCTTTCCTATGACAGCCTCCCCTTCTCTACTATAGCCTCCCTGATCAGGTAGCAATGTCCTTACCTATGACAGCCTCCTCTTCTCTACTGTAGCCTCCCTGATCAGGTAGCAATGTCCTTACCTATGATAGCCTCCCTTTCTCTACTGTAGCCTCCCTGATCAGGTAACAATGTCCTTACCTATGACAGCATCCCCTTCTCTACAGTAGCCTCCCTGATCAGGTAACAATGTCCTCACCTATGATAGCCTCCCCTTCTCTACTGTAACCTCCCTGATCAGGTAACAATGTCCTTACCTATGATAGCCTCCCCTTCTCTACTGTAGCCTCCCTGATCTGGTAACAGTATCCTTACCTATGACAGCAACTCCATATCCCATATTGGCTACACCCATCCGGTAACTACAGGTAGGTACCATGATCTCAGTGAGTGCCATCTGGTTGATTGTAAGATTGACAGACATATAGTCGGTCATCCACGTTAGATCACGTTGATGAAATGGCCAAGTAAACTCGTCATCCACCATACATTTCTCACAGACAAACACAAAAGACTAGAAAAGAACAACAGTTTTACATCAGCCATAATCAACAAAGACACTCACCTTAATTAGCAGGACATGTTCAGTGAAACTTTGTTACAATGTATATTTTTATTTACCACTTCCCTTACTGCCAACATGTTTCAAGGTCCCCTTTCTCATTATAGAGGACAATTCCTTTATAGTGCCAATTGTTTTGCTGGATGAGTGGCAGCAGTATAAAAGACTTAAATGTTACTACATAAATAGCTGAATATTGATGAAAAGCTGTGTCCCCGAGCAATATATATCAAATCTGTAACGACACATCATACCAGATATGTAATAGTCATTACTAGAAAAGTCACAGCCACATCGTACCAAATACATGTTTGAAACAGTTCATACTATGATACTTGAATTGTCACAGCCACATCATACTTAACTGCTATCATTTTACTACGACATCCTACCTTATGCCAATGCCCAGAGAAAATCAGCTGTGGTTTCAATCTTCTTAACAGCTGAAAATACAAATAATTATAAAATTACATACAGAATAATTATAATCTTGTTGATTGTGTGGGTGCAAAATTAAAATAAAATACATGAGACTTAGGTTAATTAGCGACTCCTATCTTTTAGAGGTATGGGTATATGCAACATTGCTTCATTGTTTGACATCAGAGATTCATGAATGTCAACAGATCATGCACTTCTTAGAGTAAAACCAGTATTGTTACACTCTGCAAAAGGTAATTAACATAAAAAATTGAAGCACAGTATTAGTAAAAAATCATATGCATCATGAACGCTAGCGAGCATTGCTTTGGAGAGATCAGTCAGCACAACTGACCTCACGATACCTCAAACCTTTTTAACTATTACTGTAGGAATAGGTTGGTATGCAAGTATTCATTATAAACATAACGTACAGTGTAGACTTGAACAGTGTCAGTTACTTAAAGGTTTTAGCAGACTAGAGAGTTTTGTCAGAGGAAGTATATTATAATCATAACGTACAGTGTAGACTTGAACAGTGTCAGTGACTTAAAGGTTTTAGCAGACTAGAGAGTTTTGTCAGAGGAAGTATATTATAATCATACCGGCCATGTATTGGTTATCTGCATAACTGTGCAATAAAGGATATGTTTACGGCTCTTTATTGATAGTAATATAGTGTTGACAGAGTTCCTTTGACCTTGAACCCGCAACCCAATGATGTAGGACTAGTGATCGCACACATTCAGACGCCTTAACCACTCGGCCACCACGGCCCTTGTTACATTTACACAAGCAGTCCATATAAATGTAGGGCATGTCTATAATGAATTGATGTTACATCTAGTCTCAAAGAGGTTTAATGTGTCACCATGAAGTAGGTCAGTGTGGAGTCCCACAACAGATGCTTTAAAGTTTCCCTGTTTCAACAACTTTCATTTTACAAGTCAATGGAAGTATAGCGAATCTTGTAGAGGATCTAGTTTGGACTGGGACGATTGCAAGTTTGTTTCTTTTGAAATGTTAAAGGGAAGTTATCAATCGTTTGCAATGTTTTATTTTTATTTTTCAACTTATTGTGAATACTTCATTCAAAATCGAATTGCTATAATAAGAGTACTGGTTGTAAATGATACAGTGAATGGAACTCTGAAGATTTGTATTGATATAATAAAAGTTATGTTAAGGCATTGGTATGGTAAGTGTAATTGATAATTGTTGATAAAATATGCAAATTATTACTGTATATACTTGATAATATGTTCACAATCCCATTAGCTGGATCCTATACACATGACCAGTTGTCAAAAACGGTGAACATTGATTTCTAATAATGGCATTTAGGGGAAATCCCTGCACCTTTGCTGTAAATAAACAGCTGTTTGATAAATGCATATTTCAAATGTTAACAATAGATCAATTAGAGGCATTGTTTTGTTCAGTTTTATTCAGTAAAGCTGTACTATTAAAACCCTGTCATAAAATACAGCCTGAAACTAGATATCCAAACCCTGCAATTAAGAATCTTAAAGATTATTTTTCAAATCATACTGTCATGAATCCTAAATCATTTAATCATAACAAGAATTACGCGTAATTATATGTGTCGCCTGTCCCGCTTTGTCAATATAATAAGCATTTGACATAGTACATAAGGAAACGGACCTAAACGCAAAATCATATACAATGGGGTTTTTCTAAAGTCCAGAAATTTCAGGTTTTTATCTGAAAAAGTGCAGAAATCCATGAAATGTTTTTCAAGTAGTAGGCTCTACTACCCATGATACATGTATGATTGAGGTTTGGTTGTTGTAGCTCTTATACTTTGTCAGAAAGAGCCTAATATGCAAGAGCAAAACGCAAAACCTTAACGTTGAGTTTTTTTCTAAGTCCAGAAATTTGAGGTTTTTAGTCAAAAAATACAGAAATCGTTGAAATGCTAGTAAAGAGTGTAATGCATTCAGCTATACATCACATGATACACCTATGACCCAAGTTTGGTTGCTCTAGCATTTATACTTTGTCAGAAACAGCCTAATATGTAAGAGCTAAACGCAAAACCTTACGTCCAGAAATTTGAGGGTTTTATCCAAAAAATGCAGGAAATCAATGAAATGTTTTTAGTGCAGTAGGCTCCACTACCCATGCTTCAGCTATGATCGAGGTTTTGTTGGTGTAGCTTTGTCAGAAACAGAGCTAAACGCAAAACCTTAACATTGTTGACGTCGCCGTCGGAAAAGCAACGCCTATGTGTCTTTCCGACATCCGTCGTAGGCGACACAAAAACCATTATGGACTTTTGTGAGAGTCAATATCATGTGATATGAACCTGAAATAAGTGATATTGACCTTGGTTTCACTTTTCAGGTTCATACCATATTATAATCACCATCACAAAAGTCCATAACTGTATAAGGATGTTATCTGACAGTATGCGATACCATGTAAACAGTGCTACTTGGTTCCTGATACTTACTGGATACAGTTCTACTTTTGCTTTATGCATGATAGTTTCATGGCTGACAAGAACTCTAATAGGTGAAGAGATTTTAGTCTGTAGATCATCAGCCAACTCTCTCTTTGGCACAAACTGCATTCCTTGATTTTGTATGTCCATCTAAAACCAAAATATATGTTAATCCACTCGTTATCACGTAATAATTCATAATATGAATATGGATCACAATTATAATTCATAACATGAATATATGAAGAAAATGGATATAATCACAACATACTCAAGCGTCACCAATAAGTGGGTTTTTAAGTTTATTTGGCCGACAAGTTTCGCCTCTAAAGTTGAGGCTTCATCAGGACAATTTTACAATGGTTTAGACACCTAAAGTACCTTTTTAGGGGTTCAGATTTATATTGTGATGTAATGGACAATGAGCTTTAGCCAAGGGCAGATAAACAATGGTCAACAATAGAACATTATGACGTCACAGATATTATAACGTCATCAAGATTAGTGGTGTTGCTATGGACATGGAAGAAAGGTACATTTCTATGTCACAATAATATAATAATATGAATGTTGCCTACAAAATATGACTTACTCATAAAAATACTTACTTTTATTTAGATAATTCAGTGTTTAAGTTTAAATCATGTTTAACATGTAAAATGAATACACTGTGTCATCATATATCAAGATTACACCTCACTTAAAACTTACCTTGATATAATCTATAAATCCATATTTATCAACTCCTGTTAACAGATCATAATGTTTTTCAAATCGGTCTATTTTCCACTCTTTCCTCATGTCTCGAAACTCTCCCCCTATGTCGTTATCACCGGCAATATAGACTTTCTAAAGAAAAAAAATACAATTAAATAATAAGGAAAGATATAGACTTTCTCAGGAAAAATAAAGGAAGATTATAGTAATGTAATCACCGGCAATATAGACTTTCTAAGGAAAAAAATACAATTAAATAATAAGGAAAGATTATAGTAATGTTATCACCGGCAATATAGACTTTCTAAGGAAAAAAATACAATTAAATAATAAGGGAAGATTATAGTAATGTTGCATTCTATTTTTGGCTACTAATTATACCTTCAATTTATCTTGATTTCCTTGTTTTCTATTTGATAACACATAAGGCAAAATAAAAATTGGTGTTTGTTTCTGGTTTTACCCTGTCTACCTCAAGATTACTCTCCTATATAAACCTTATATAAGACCAAAGGAAACTGAGAGTGAGCTTTACAAGATATTCCCCCTGCTTTATCTTATTATAGGTATTCAAACTTAGTTTGCAGGGGGTATGATAATCGAATCACAAATCCTTTCAAACACATCTACATATGATGTACTTTCATGCACCAAGTTACACAAAAATCCAACAAACAGTTAAAGCTAATAAAACCACATAGGTGCAGTGTTTGATTATTGACAGGCATATAATCCAAATCCTGAATTTAACCTTTGACCTCAATATGAGCTTAACCTTGGGTCTATAGACCCAAAAAGTGTTTTGGACATACCACCTTGCCATCCTGTATCACTAAAATTTCATTGAACTATCTTCAGTGAGTCAGAACTTATGGCATCATAAAATCTGCTTGAACCATTCATTACAGCTGTCAGTTCCTAGAAGTATCACAAATGTAAAGGATACGACTCGATATGTTACCCTTGGCCAAAATAGTACAACAAACATACATATATATATCCTCCAAAAATGGTATTACATTGTCTTTTTCTGCTGCACCAAATATACTGTTGAACCTGTAGTAGTAGGATTTGAAGTCTTCCTTTGATGCTTTACTGCCCTCATCCATCAGGTCACCCAGAAAAACAACAACATCGGGCTGGGCATATGCATGTGCCAGGGAAAACGTCTGGCCGAGGAACCTACCAACAAAAGTCCATTATTCATACATTTAAAGGAATTTTTGTATCAACAGGAAGTTCATGTCATATACAAGCAAAGGGAGGTGCAACCTTGACCTTACACATGGAAGTAACTTTAAATGACCATTTCATTATTTTAAGACCTTAGTTGATGACCTTTGAACCTACCTGTCTATGTCCCATCTGGTTACCAGCCCAATAGGGAAGCCTGGCTCATCCTGGTAGCCCTGTATCTGTGGGTCAGCCACCAACAGTACCACCTGTGTTTTGCTGGAATCCCTATTAATGTACATTGTATTGATGAAATAACAAATAACAAAATGACAGAAATGGAAACTTTGAATAACAGAAATTTATCATACTTTTTTCATTTCATGTGAGTGAGTACTAATCATAACCAGGTAAGATTCTCAATAGCCCAGTCTGAGTGTATCCTTCATAATGGATACAAGTGTTTTTGGATTTCTATCCAGGTCCAGTGTCAGGGACTGCATACTTCCCACCTCTCACAATTATGATTAGTACTCACTCACACAGGTACATGTAAATTATCTGCAGTGTAGGGTAGGTAAAAAGATTGTCCAGGTGAACATTTTTTACTCAACTTTTCTGTTTTGTTAGAGTTGGGAAGCATGCAGTAAGCCAGTTATTGCATGATTTCTCGTCACTCGGGACTTATTACACCCTCGCTTCCCTTGGGTGTAATAAATCCCTTACTGCATACTTCCCTTCTCTCACAGTGGAAAAGTGTGGGCAATAAATCACTTGCTACCACAGTCCACTGCACACATAATCCCCTTTCATGGCCAATCATGATTACATGACCATGAAAGGTGGTGTGCCCAGTGGACTGTGGTCACAAATACTGTAAGAAAGGGGAGCTAATCAATCAGTGAGTAACAATGAAGTCAATACAGTGGAAAGGATAAACTTAGTTGACACATTCTAAAATAAGGGCGAAAAATGAAGTTAAAAATTGTAATTTCATGATTGAAAAACACAAAAATATTTTCTGGTCCCGGAATAGGATAAGCTTCGCTCGGGTGTAATAAATCCCTTGTTACTCGAAAACCATGCACTAACCTTTACTTGTTACTCTAAAACCATGCAATAACCTTTACTTATTACCTGTGTCCTTACATAATAAATATTTACTTTGGAAACTTTCTATTTGATTAAATTGTATAAAGGACGCTTGAAAGTGAAACATCAACACTCAACATTAAAGTAGTTCAAAGTAATTGGGCATCATATACATTTTTCAATGTAATTGAATTAATTACCGTTACATGCAATTGAAAAAATCCTCAATTACACATTACATCCAATTACTTAACAAAATGTAATTAATTACTATTAATTACCATTTCACATTACCATTACCCCATGCCTGGCCCAAAGGGCCTGTATCTCTCTTCTGGATACCTTAGCAATCATGGCAAAATATTCTCCAAATAAGATCCAAGGGAATGGGCCAGACCCCAAGGCCAATCCTTGTAGCATATCTGTATTAGATTGTTCATGCCCAGCAATTTTATGTATGGTTATGGGGTGAGGATCTCAACTGTTTCCAAGCTGTGACTCAGAACTAGGTCCCCAGGGTTATGGCCAGACCCCATGGTCAACTCTAATATCATGACTGCATTCGTCTCTTTATGCCCAACAATTATATATTTATATTTTGGGTGGGGATCTGAACCATTTCAAAGTAATGATCCAGGGGTTAAGTCTCCAAGGGTGGGGCAGACCCCGGGGTCAATTCTAACTGCATTCATCTCTTTAGCCAACAATTGTATATATAGTTTTGGGGTGGAGATCAGAATCGTTTTCGAAGAAGTACAATCAAGTCATGTGATATTGCTCATGCCCTAATTTCCATTAAAAACATGATGGGTTGGTATAGAAAACGTTGGAAAATACTGTTCGTAATGATCTTTGAAACATGTTATTGATACCACCTAGTGCATAAAGAATAGATCTTTTGATCCATGTGCGCCATGTGTGTGAAAGTGACGATTTGCACAACTATGATCCTGACCAAATTTAGTTTAAGCCATTCTAGACTAGAAGCATTTTTGGTGAAGTGAGTTCAAAAAGAGTTTTTTATATAGACCTTTAACTCATATTTACTGATTAGTAATTAATAATTTGTACTTCACATTTTATTTTTCTCCTTATTTCCCAAAAGCAAAGGGTAGTAAATATTTTCCATAGGAAATTCACGAAAGAGCTTCTTACAATATCTTACCTGTTTTTGAACCTTAAATGTTGCCCGTTTTAAAGTACCAAATGACTCCACCTCACTGTTAACTTATTTGAGGGTAAAACAAACGATTCCGTCTCATCTATTTGTAGGTCAACTTAATGCATACTTACCTATAGACTCTAATGATAAGTTTGGCTCATGATATTTTGTATACTCACCTGGTAGCTACTGGCAGATTTGGCCATCGGAAACTCTGTATAAAGTAGATAAGGAACTCATTGCTGAAGACAGCAAGGAAAACAATGACCAGAGTCAGGCTATTCACTGACCATCTTTGACCACACAGGAAAAATACAGGTCCATTTCTCGCCATATCAAAACGGTCGAAGACTTGCAGGGCATCTGACTAGTGAAACATGTGTGTAGACTTCATGGATTGATATACTAAAATGTAACAGAAAATAGCTTGTCAGCGTTTCATTTATAGATTATACTACTACAGTAGCATATAGGTACCATGCTAGGAGGGGAAACCTAACAAGGCATTCGAGTAGATGTCAAAGGTTTTTGTCATCCAAACTTTGCTGAACTTAACCTTAACCACACATTCATGACATCCTCAATACTGTTGATTGCTATTAACAAATATGTAAAAATGCCTGAAAATATATTTGTAGACATTTTGAAATAGTAACAGTAAAATAGCAGAATATAGGACGAAGTGTTAACCACTGGTTGGAAAACATTAAGTGATTGTGGCTTTATTGGTCCTGACATGGTATATGATTACCTTATTTCAAATAAAAAATTGTGTATATATACTATGACACATGTACAGGTGGTCAGACCTGGAATCAATATACTCTGTATGTCAACATGTAGTCTGGAAAGTATACATACCCAACTCACTCCACCGACACCAATCACACTAATAGTAATATAGCATACACAGGTTGTAATGAGCCATACAAGGAATATTACAAGTACTGGTGTATACAGTACAAAATTTTGATTTTTTTATATAGGATAATGAAAGTAGATTTGAAGTGCATTCAACCATAACATACAAAGATGTTACCCAAATGCAGGATTATTACCCATATGCGCCGTTGTGCCCAACCTGGTGACCTGTACAAAAATATAAGCTATTACCCACAAAAGAACTGATTAACCGAAGTTGTACAATGTACAAGTAAAATCTAAACTTTCAATATTTGTGTAAGAATGTGACAGTATTGGCGAACTGCATAAAGAATCCGTTGTTCATATTACCCAAGATAATTAATGATAATTATTGGTTTATATATCAGCCTACTACTCTAAAACTTACAAAAACCCAGTTCTTATCAGTTGCCTGTTTATCTGTTTGTGAATGATTTAAAACTGCCAAAAAGAAACTGAAGGGATGTTTTTTAGTGGGATCTCATGTGATGTCATTAGACAATTGATAAGAGGATAACTGTACAAACTGATAACCTTACCAACTTTCATGTTTGTTGAAAAGTTACAAACACTTAATAAACTTCAAAATACCTCTACACACTACCAAAAAGCTTCTTTTCTTATCTTTCAGGGCTGTCGGTAGCCAAAGTTTTATTTACTAAAATGACCTACTTAGGTGTTTTTTTTAAAAATGACAAAATTTGTATTTTTGTCCTAGAAATGTGCTGACAATGATTGTGCACAGGTACCTCTGTAGCCATAGGGGCATGGAATACGGAATAGGAAAAAAATAAGTATGTAATATCAGGGACGTATATTGTCCCTGGTAATATTTTGTAACTTACATGCCAACCATGCAGATTAAATACAAATTAAATACAAATTATTTATATTATTTCTAAATACAAAGCATTTATATTTAATACAATTTAGTCTTTATCTGAATTGATTAAGAATGTTGAGGGCGTTGTAAGGAATATGACTTTGCACATGAATTAAACTAATGTTAGAATGCGTGGAGGGGTAATTACAAATTTTAATTTTATGAGGTATTATCTCATTTGATGTACCTCACATGCTGGGTCTGACATCATAGGATACAATCTACAAAGTTTCAATGAATGGACAGCTTAAGGTATTTATGTAAATGACTTACTTGGTATGATGTTATAAGGAAATATTTCAAGTTCATGACACATTGTAAAGTATGAGGTATATTTACGACATAAAGTGATAAAATAACAAAGTACATATTGTATCAATAGCCTAGTTATACTTGTGTAACTACCAGTGTTATTTAATTTTCTGAGATAGGATATTATAATATAGATCTTTTGTGAGCAACTAAATTGTATTAATTATCCATGGAATAATATTGATCAAAAGTTGTTCGGCTTGCTATTAAAATTAAAGCCAAAATTAAAGCCTAGGGCCTTAATGAAAGAGTGAATATGTATCATTTTAAGTCCCCAATCTGCATAGTAATGTTAAGTTATGATATCACACTGTTTTAAAGAAATAAAGTGTGAAGTCTGTTGTTTAAAATAATAATAGTTCTCTACCTATATACAATGCCCTCCAAAGGTTCTTTTACATATGTTACTGTAATGTATGTTTTGGTTAGTGTAGCGTTTTCACATACGAAAATTAAATCTGTTACAAAATGGTCAAAAATGCATAAAAACTTTCTTTTTTAAATGTTTAAATAAATGACATTAATAAAAATGATTTCAGCAGAAATTATCTTTTATCTGTGAAAAAAATGGTGTTTTTTTGCAGGAATTTGTGGAAAAATCACTTTCAGAAAATACATTTTAAAACTCATTAATTTCACTTCAGAAGTGTCATTGTATTTTTTTATTTCATTATTAATAAAAAGCATTGGTGTTATATGCAGTGGATCCCACCTAATTGTACATGTTGATTGTAAAATCATAATAATTGCGTACAATATCCAGGAACAAAAAGTGTCAAAAATGTTTTGCTTAATATGGCAATAAAATATTTGTAGCACTTTTACTCTATCAGAAGTATTTTTGTATAGATCTTTACTCGTTTTTTTATTTGGGTGACTAATAGCATGTTACTATAGCTGTGTTTCCTTATCACTTATCTGGTGTAATAAATAGTCACATATATTTTCAAATTAAATAATTAAAAAGTATAAGCTAACATATTATGTATTTTTTATGGGGATTTTATATAAAATGTATAAATAAAGGGGCTGACACACCTCTTCCTTTCTGGGGGTTAAGAGGTAGGGCAAAAATTTAAATGATAATTATAATTAGGTAATATTATGTTGAACAACATTTTCTCTTAAATTATTAGATGGATATGAACAATATTCGGCTGGAAACATTTTAGTGGTTAAGTGTTGTTTTTTTTATATACAAATGGAAGAGCTGACTCCCTGAAGGACTCACAGCGCTATCATGGCGCTATGCATATATAATATTAAAATAACAAATCATTGTAAATATTATCCCAGTTACATTACTACTCGTTGTGACGATGTGAAATAACACACACCGAATTCACGTTACTATGTATGTACATATGGAGTGACGGCCTTTGATAAACTTCAGGTTGGTGCAACGCCTTAATTCTGCCTTAAGACGGGGGGATTGTTCAAAGGAACCTTTAACCTGATGTTGAACCAAAGAATAGCCATCATCTCCTTCTCTGCCTGTAATTAAGCAGGGTCACTAAGGTTAACAAAAAAAGTGTAAACAAATAAATTAATATAATCAATTGGGTTGGGAAGTGGTTTTTTGAAATGTATCTATATTCTGTAAATAAGAACAAAACAAAAAAAGAACAAAAAACACAAATCCGTAAAGTTCCGTTTTCCGGATTTGTTTTTGCTACTAGACACCGTCTCCGTCAAGACGCTCAGACACAGCATATTACCTGCGGAAAATAACTTGTAGGAAATAATTGGACATGTGTCAGTTGATTGTTTTGTTAAATATTGCTTGATAAGTTAACAATCTTTAGGGGAAATGTTACTTTCTGGTCTTAGTATGTATAGATTTCCAAAGATCAGTCCTTTTCTGATCACTGTCGGCAAGTCGCCATTGTCGGTTTTCGTGACTCACTTACGGCGATTGAAACCAGTGATCCGGACGACATAAAGCTATTGTTTGACCCAATCTTCCGTAACATAACAGAATATCTCGATGTATATCCAGAAATATTCAAATCACAATCATTTATTCTACCTTTCGACACCTTTTCACTACTTTTCGGCTTTTCCACTACTTTTCGACACTTTTCGGCTTTTATCACAAACCATCGCTTTACTTGTAATGCGATCCATGACCCTGAGACTGTAGCCTCGTCTGTCACCGCACCAGTCAGTTTTAGCGGTGCATAAATCGGTCATATCGGATAAGAATAAAGATAGCGAGAAAAAAAGGTAACTGTACATGCCTGGCACCGGAGTCAATCACAAGTTTTCAGCTGCTTCCCACTTACATTCAGAACAATCAGGCGTATCCTTACCTCTATATAAACATGTCTCTTCCTGGATACCCATGCAGGGATATCCTGTCATGGGAGATAACTCTATTTGTTTTGGTGGTAGGTAAATCTTGTACCCCGTTCCCGGACCCGGACTAAACCCTGTACCAGGAATATAAAGATATTTTAATATCCCATTAACGCGATCGTTTATAAAAAATAAAAAAAAAATAAAAAATAAAACATTATTTTCTAAATGTGACAGTTACAAATGTAACAATGTGGATTGTACACGCTCTGTATTTACTTGCTACCTATTCCGTAATTATTAATATAGTATCCTCGGGTTACCGGGTTTCCGCGCACTTAAAGGGACATCACGTGAAAAGGCGTTTTTTTTTTTAATGAATGTATGTATTGTATGCACTNCCAGAACATATATATACAAAATTAGTGTGTCACGTAATAACCTAATGCAAATTTATATGTATATATATATAAGATGTTAAAGATGGGTTACAGCAAAAGAGGTAATGATAGGATTATATTAAGGACACCAACGTACAGTTTTTAAATATGTATTCGGAGAGTTTACTTGAGATCGCGTGTGTGATTTTTCTAATCGAGTCGGCGTAAGTAGTATACCTAATCTATACACACATATCTTTCTGCTTTTCTAAAGTTCAATCACATTCCGTGCCGCATTTGCCTTTATCCTGTGTCACTCCAAGTCCTTCTGTGAATTCCTGCCTTACATACTTAGCTGACTAGATTAGGAAAACCGGACACGCGCTCTTTGTCTTATGGAAACGGTTATGATATTGATGGACGCTAAGATTGAAGTTAGTACACAGAAATCGTTGGTGTTGGAAAAATGGAGAGGGGCTGGAATAAGAGAGGAGGTGGAGGGGAGAGACAGATGGGAATAGTCGAAGTAGGTATCCTGGTTATTCAATATGACTGTTGGTTATTACATGTTAAACTGTTTGGAGCTAAAAATGAACAGTTGTACAGACCTACAAATTTGAATGTTTAGATTTTAGTCAAGGTTTGCATCTCCGAAGAGAAGGTGTTCAACAGTGATTTCGTTATACCAATCGAGGGATTGAAGCATTATATCACGGGATTGATCAATTTTTTAAAAGTTTAGTAAGAAATGAGAAGAGTCTTCCGAGTCATTTCCGCAGTCGCAAGTAGAGTTGTCTCAAAGGTGAGCTTTAAAAAGGTCGTAATTTAAAAAGCTACTGCGGTTTCGTAATTGGCAATGTATAATATTTACTTTTCTGGACCCATATTCAAGAAAACATTTAATATAAGAAGGGGTAGTGACTTGACGTCGAATAAGAAATTTGAATTGTTTAATGGATGCTGATGACTTTGATTCTATTGATAGATTGTTCCAGTAGTCTGAAGTACTTGGTATGAAGGATGATTTTATGATTTGCAGTCTAAAGTATGGGTTCTGAAAGTTATTCCTGTTTCTAAGATTATAGTTAGAGAAGTTTGAAACAATAGGTGGTAGAAGAGATTTTAGAAATGAGGGAGCATTATCATGATAAATATTATAAAACATGGATAATTTTCTAATCCTGCGTCTATCTGTCAATGATTTCCATCCGAGCTCTCTGTAAATCTTTTTTTTTTGTGTATAAATATGTAATACTGCATGTTCTCTAATTTATTCGAAAATGTGACATTACAATTGTCCCATACTTCGCAGGCATATTCAAATAGTGGTCTTATAAAAACAAGGTATATTTTTTTTCCATTTTTTTCTTCTATTTAGAATGTATTTTAATTTCCTTAAAGTTGCAATGTACTTTGTAGTGTTTGTTAATATATGTTCTATGGGAGAGTTCCATGTGCCGTTGTTACTAATAATGACTCATAGGTGTTTGTGGTTTTTAACAATAGGGATAGGTGTGTTGTCGAAAAGAAATTGTGGGTTAAAAGGTATATGTGTGTTAGAAATTAAGAGTATTTCGGTTTTATTTGGGTTGAAATTCATTAACCATTTATTTTACCGAAGGTTTAATTTATCCATGTCATAGTTTATTACTTGTTTTATATCGTGTACATTTTTGGAAGAGTGTGCTAATGCGGTGTCGTCAGCAAAAAGTCTAGTCATTGATAGTAGTGTATTTGAAATATCGTTGATGTATACAAGAAAAAGAAGTGGCCCTAACACTGAACCTTGAGGAACTCCGGCTTTGATAGATACTTAAGAAGATATAGCATTTTTTAGTACCATTGACTGGCGTCTGTTACTTAAGTAGTTTTTAATCCAATCTAAAAGTTTGCCTTTTATCCCGTATTTTTCTAATTTAATTAATAGACCTTTGTGCCAGACTCGGTCAAAAGCTTTAGAAAAGTCACAAAAAACAAGAGCAGTATATTCACGATTCTCCAGTGCTGTAAGTATGCTATGATAGAGTTCGATGAGTTGGTGAGTTGTAGAGTGATTTGGTAAGAAGCCAGACTGTAAAGTATATAGAAGTTTGTTGCTGAAGAGATAGTTATAGATGAACTTATGAATTATTCGTTCGAAAAGTTTGCCAATGCAGCTAAGTAAGGAAATGGGTCTGTAGTTATTTGCCAATTCAGATTCCCCCTTTTTGAAAATAGGTGTCACATGGGCAAGTTTCCATGAATCAGGAAATACAGAAGTACGAAAGGATTCGTTGAATAGAAGTGTGAGGGGTGCAGATATTTCATTGGATACCATTTTTAACATTTTATGACTGATGCCGTCAGGACCAGCAGCTTTATTAGTGTCTAAAATATTGATTATATCTAAAACCTCTTGTTCTGTTATTACAATTTCAGTAAGGGACGCGTCTGTTTGGTTGTCAAAATAGGGTGTATCGTCGTTATGGTCATCAAGGTCAGAAACAGATTTAAAGAAGTTATTTAGAATATTGGATTTGTCATAGTCGTCTGTGGTTAAGCGGTTATTTGTAGGGTTAAGTAAGGGAGGTATATCGGTAGAAATGTTACCTTTTAAAAGCATACGCATTAGTTTCCAGTATGCTTTAGGATTAGCTGAACTATCATTGATAAGTCCATCTACATTTGTATAAAAAAGTGCTCTTGCATGCTTCAGCATATTATTTACTTTATTTCGTGCACGTTTAAATTTAGCTTCAGACAATGGGGTTTTAACTCTGATAAAATGTTTCCTTAACCTGTTTCTACGTTTAATTTCTTTTCTTATATCTCCGTTCATCCATGGTTTGTCGTTTTTATTAACAGTAACAATTTTTTTAGGAATATGCTTTTCTAAAATAGAAATTATTTTGTCAGTGAACAGTTTACATTTTTCGCTTACATTATCCGCATGAGAAAACAAATCTAACCAATTTACCTGTCCTACCTCTGTTTTAAGATTTAAGATATCTGCTCTGTTGTATAACCATATTTTCCTCTTAAAAGACTTTGGTTTTGGTAGACATGACGACAATGACACAATTATAGCTCTGTGGTCACTTATAGCTTCTAAAACTGGTACAACAATGGATGATTCGGAGGATATAGTATCACTGATGTAAAACGGGTCTATAAGGGATTGTGTAGTATTTGTAACTCTAGTTGGACTGGTAATCAGGTTAGTTAGATTATATTGCTGTGTTAGAATGCTAAGATCATTGTTATTTCCTGTTAATAAGTCAATGTTAGTATCCCCTGTTAATAAAACATGAGGAGTGTAGTCAAAAACTATGTCAAAAGAATGTTTCGGTCGAGTCCAAATTCCAGAGTTAGTATTTTGCCATGGAGGTTTGTATAGTACACATAGAAGATTTTTCTTATTATCAGTACAAAATTCAATCCAAATTATTTCGTCATTCGGTGATTCAATATCAAGTCTGCGTTTAGGCAATATATCTTTAGTTGCAAAAATCATAACACCGCCACGAAAAGCGTTCCTGACTTTTCTAAATATTGTTGAGAAGTTAGTAAGAAGAAGGTCAGAATCAGGGATAGAAGGATCGAGATGTGTTTCTGTTAGGCACAATATGTCTACGTCATCGGTAAAACTCTCAAGAAAAACAATTTTATTTCTAACGCTACGAATATTCAAGTGCATGATTTTTAATGAGTGAAGGAAAACTGTCTGCTGGTCCTGGATTTGTGTGTAAGTCCCTGACAAAAGTAAGATTAAGATTAAGACAAGGGCGATGTTGTTTGGGTTGCTATATGTCTGTAGAAAAAAAAACTGCTGTAGGCAAATATATAAAATGTAGCTTAAATATATCGTAATAGGAATAAGTGTTGTTGTTGCATCTGTACGTTTTGTTTAAATGGGTTTGTTTAGAGTAATATAGTCCGATAGCACATCCGCGAAAAATGTATACAATCTACTTATGGAAACAAAAAACTAGCAACATAAAACAGTATTTTAAAAAAATCAGAACAAACAATTTTTAAAAAATTTCTCCCGTCGGAAGTATCCGTCATATGTTTCCGTGTGTTTATTTTGATTTCGTGTTCAAAGAAAGATAACTCGAATACACTATAAAGAAATTCTCTACAGTGACCTGCAATAACAAAAGCTTCGTTTGGAATAAAAAATATATCTTTGATCGTCAAATTAATTATTAAAACATTTTGTTTTAAATCTCACATTTTTAATTGATTTTTCAAGTTGTCAAATTGAAGGAACTCGTGTAATTTTATAAATTTATTTATTATATTTATTTAGTTATAATATAGAATTTTGTCCTGTTTAAAATTGGTGAAAATTGGAAGTTCATTACATTACAAGGTTTACGTTTCATTAAAAAATACTGTTTATCGATATAAGAATGTCTCCTTGGCTCTTTAGAAGTGGAAAAAATCGGCGAGGAGATGTGGCCTCATTTGCATACGACATTTTCTTACGTTTGTCAGCCTACAAAAAGACCGGTTCATGAATGAAATATATCACCGTTTTTTCAGGTATGGGTTCATTTTGAGCAAGATAAAAAGTGCAGTAAGCAAAACTGCATATTTATGCGTGTTTTTTAATCAGTGATTAATTCTTATGTTTTTTCGGACGAACTTCTGGTAATTTTTATGTCAGTTTACAGACGATGGTCAAACGTCTAAAATATGCTTGTG